ACCAAGTCAGTTTAACTTGGAGCAATTAACATTCCTTTGCTAAGGCTCAGTTCCTTCACCTGGAAAGTAGGTTGTTCTGAGGATAAAACTGGTTTATGGGAAAGGCCCCACCTCACAAGAGCAATCCCCAGTGTGCACTCGGTGCAGACGAGCCGAGAGCCATGCGCTGAGGCCAGAGTACTACACAGACTAGTCCAGGAGCTGCGTTAGCTTCCCAAGAGGCACGGTAAACGCTGCAGGGTCAGAACTTTCTCATCGAGGCCGCCCATCCTCCAGGACTGCCCACGATTTAGATAGGCAAGGCAGGTATTTCTGTGCCTCAGGTATGGCATCTGTTAAGTGGGGTAATACCTCATATTTCCAAGGTCATTGCTGAGGTTCAAATCAAATAGCATGTATGATTACCAAGTGAAATGCATGTAGACCTAATTGGAAAAGGGTTTTGTCCAGAGAGGTTTTGAAATCCCAGCTCTTCTATTCACTTGATAAACAAGGGAGCTTTCTCAAGTCCCCTTGTCTAATCAGAGGAGTTCTACAGCTCACTGAGCCATAATTCTAACTGTGGAACTGGGAGTCAATCATTCCTTCATTCTCTCAAGATACAGATAGGCAGGTCTACTAGCATGCCAGGCTTGTGTATGCACCATGACTACAGAAACAAACACTACGCACCTCCTCCCTTACTTCCTAGTGGGGCAGGCAGGAAAACAAGTGAATATGCAATATACAGGATGCTGAAGCAGAACAGAGAAACGTAAAGCAGACTAAGGGGGAACAGACTGTCTCTGATAAGGCAGGGGGCACACTGCTTCAGCTCACGGACACAAGGACTTTGAGAAGAGGCCTCAAGGAATGAGGAGTGTGTCAGAGAAAAGACCAAGTGCAAATGCCCTAAAGTGTATGCTGGAGTGTGATCAAGGAAGGGGGAAGGGGTGAGAGATGAGGTCAAAGAGGTGGCAAGGGTGTGAAGGCACAGGGTTTGTAAGGCTTTATGTGGACGTAGGCTTCTAACCTGTGTGAAAAGGAACACTCGGGTTGTTGAGCAGAGCAGGAGGCTGACCTGACCCCCATTCAACAAGTGCACTCGGAAAGGGACTGCAGCGGGACACGGGCGGAGACACGGAGGACGGTTAGGACGACAGTCCAGTCATCTACGCAAGATGATGGGCCATTAGGTCCGAGGTAGCATGGAGGCAGTGAAAGTCAGATGAAAAGTGGAATATCTGTTGAAGGCAGAGCTTCAGAGAAGGAGGTGGAAGGAGAGTGGAAGGGAAGGCTGAGTGGTGTCCTAGAGGCCAAGGAAGGAAAGGGTTTCCACAAGGAAGGAGCGGCCAACGTGGCAGCATGGCACTGGTCACCGCACTTAGCAAAGGGAAAGGCAGGTAGGGACTCCAGAAAGCGACACTTCAGTGGACTGGCTGAAATGACTAAAAGCCCTATTCCGAGGATTTGGGGGTGGGGGTATGAGCACCTAAAAAGTACTCAATAATGGACAGAAGAGGGATGAAATGATAGTTTCATAAAGCCAAAATCCACACTCACTGCCATCATGGCAGTTCCCTAGAGAGTTTCTGAGGCTGTATCTTAATCGAGAGGCAAGTGGCCAACTTTGCAGTTAGCAACCTAACGCCTACGCCACCACACATCAGCAGGACTCCTTAATAACTTCATAGAAGCCACTTCAAAAGGGGAATGTTTGACTGTAACCATATTAATATTTTTCACATTAAAAAGGATGGGAGGAATTCTAAAACTGAATGCAAACAGAAACCAATGAATGCATTTCAAATAAATAACACAACCACATTGTGGAGGTAAAAACAAAAACTAAACCGCATGACTTTTAAATGTAGTCTCAGCTTATTGCGTGGCCTAAAACCATAAGAACTATAAACCAACCTTGAACTTTGCTGGTCGCTTGTTTTTCACAGTGGCAAGTGGGGGCAGGTAATTCTGGAACTATTCAGAGCTCCCCTACAGGTACAGAGTCGGGGGAACGCAGAAAGAGCCCAGGGGGAATGGGAAACGTGGACACGGGCCAGGGTGATGGCCACACAGTACAAAGAACATAGTTGGCACCACTGAAATGTACTTGTAAAAACAGATGAAGTTGCAAACATTTCGTGAGATCATAGAAAAGGCATATTGGTCATAATTTAAAACAAAAAAACAGACAGACAGACAGACAAAGAACCCCCGGGACTTGGAGAGAACACGGACCAGTGTAGTGATGAATTTTCCCCAGGAAACCTGCGTCTCTGCTGAAACCTGTGGGAGCCCTAACGGGCCAGTGCTGCCTTGCTTTCCCGGGTCCGCCAGGCTCCCCGCAGCCGACTCTCAATTAGAAAATATTTCCGTTTCCTTCCCTGATGAGTGTTTATCTCACATGATTATCATTTTTGCAGACTGTACTGTCTACCCTACTTTCCCCTGCTATCGGGCCTAGCAGCAGGTTATAGACACACACACACACACACACACACACACACACACACACACACTGCTGTCACTGTTGTCATGAGGTGCCATCGAGCCAGTTCCGACAGGTGGCGACCGGATGCACAACAGAACGAAACACTGCCCCGCTGGGGCCGCCATGCTCACAACTGTCCTGTGCCTGAGCCCACCGTTGCAGCCACTGTGTCGATCCATCTCCCTGAGAGCCTTCCTCTCCTTTTCTGCCCCTCTAATGTCACCAAGCATGATGTCCTTCTCCAGGGACTGACCTCTCCTGACAACATGTCCAGAGTAAGCGAGATCCAGTCTCTCCATCTTCGCCCCTACGGAGCACTCTGGCTGCACTTCTTCCAAGACAGACTGATCTGTCCTTTCAGCGGTCCACGGTATTTTCTTCTCTAGCGACACAGTAGAAGCAATGTACACACCCAGCACCAAATTCCCGGTTTTAAATCCCATCCCCCATGAAAGGTAACCAGAGCTACTCAGAGACGTGCTCCAGACTGGAACAAGGACTGGGCAAGATCAACCTGGAACATCTCTTTTGGGCCAGAAAACACAGAAGTGCTCAAAAAAGATGGAGACACGTCAAAAGGATCTGTCACTTGTCAAAGATGGGACAACCTGAGCATTATGAAAATAAGGAACAATAGCCCACTATATAAAGCAAGGATCTCCGGTCCATTCTGATAATAAACAAGAAGCAAACATGTAAGTAGAAGGGGATGAAAGTATTAGAAGCAGATGCCACCTGAGAAGTGGAGATGGGATGGTGGCCTGGGCAAAACATGGCCACATGGACATCATCATAGGAACAGCTGCCTCAGGTCAACGAGTATTTACAAATACAAATACCCCGCAAAGTGCTTCCCCACTAATTACATACTCATTACAAAGGGAAACAGCCCTTTAGAACGGAGAAACCACAGAGACATCGCCTTAGCCAAGTGATCACAGTTACTATCACCAAGATAGGATAACGGTGTTCCGTGCACCTCTCATGACACAACGGGAGCAGTGTCCCTTTCAAACAACGCACCTGAATCCAATTAGAGGGAAACAACAGATAATCCCAAGTGAGGGCCTGGCCCGATCTCTTCAAATACGGAATGCCACGGAAGACAAGGAAAGGGTGAGGAACTTTCCCAGACTAAACGAGCCCCAAGCCTACACCACATGTAATGTGGGGACCAGATTCTGCATCCTATCAGAAATAAAACTCATAAAAGATATTAGTAAAACAAATGGGGTAATTTGCAGACTGGGTAGAAGGTACATTGAATAATTCTATTTCCTGATTTTGATCAGTGTACTGTGGTTATGTAAGAAAATGTCCTTGGTCTAAGGAACTATATCCTTAAGTATCTAAGTGAGCCAAGGGCATGATATTATCAATCCGAGAGAGAGAGAGAGAGAGAGAGAGAGAGAGAGAATGATAAAGCCATTAATTCAAAATACTAACAACTGATGAAGTTGAGTAAAAGGCATAGGGAAGTTATCTGTTGTAGTTTAAAAAGGTCACAAATTATTTTGTTTTAAAACATGTAACATAGTTCACAAAGACAATATTCTACGTGCTAATCTGGTGAGCACAAACTGGGGTCTTCAAAGCTCACGCTCGGCCACTGAAGTTGCAACGACTCACCCTGCCAGAGGAAATTATCAAAAGACCCATGGAAACACTTAGTCCAACAGCCTAATAGACCACCAAGCATCAGACTCCACAACCCTGAGACCAGAAAAACCAGATGGTGCCCAGCTACCACTATCTCCCAACTTGTCCAAAAAAGGATTATGTGAGAAGGTCCTGGACCGAGTGGAAGAACAAGGTGGAACACAACTCCACATCATGAGTGGAGTCCGGGCTGACTGTTCCTATGGAACTTGGTGGGACAGCCCGAGACAGGGATGGCCCTTGCCTTTCACGTCTGAAACGGATCGACGTTTCAGGCTCGAATCATCAACCATCTAAGATCACGTGGGGCAGATTCACCCCAGGACAAAGTTGGGAAAGTTAGAGATATAGAGTCATGGAGACAGCAGAGCGTCTTAGTGGAACGAGGGGACTGCAAAGGCTAAGTTGAATCAGAAGGTGGATGAATTTCCGAATGTAAGACTATGAGTTGCTCTGTAAACCTCCACCCGATCCACAACAAAACATCTCGAACTTTTCCAGTAATTTAATAACACATCATATAGTGCCCAATACACAACAGATGTCCAGCAAATGTTTTCTTTCATCCTGCCCCTGACCCTTGGATATGTTTGAATAGTTTTATTTTTTGTTTTAACTTGATTGCCAACATTTAAAACTCCTAGTCACTCAAAAACAACCCAGGATGCCATCTTTTCTCGACTAGTTTAAAGGAACCAGTAACACTGTAGTGCCAGGCAGTGCAGACGACAAATCACACAGAGCCGGTCGCTAGAAGAGGCAGCGGTGGTGTGGCTCTGCTATCACCTCCTCGGGGGAGAAGACCAAGGAACCGGTTCTTCTTCTATCCACCAAGTCCCGGATCCAGGACTGATGGTGTCCCACTCACCGTTGAGACACAGCTTTTCCAGTTTCTCCAGCAGTTCAGCACATCGATTCAGTTGCTGCCGGAAACCCTCGGCCAAAGAGTAGTCCACATCGCTGGTGTGGAGAAACTCCTCAAGCGCCTTCCTCATGGTGCTCACAAGTTGCCGGCAGGTGACACAGACGCCATGGCTGTCCTTCATCTGCTGTCGGTGAAGGGAGAGCTCCCTGGCTTGGGACTGAACTAATGAGTCGTATCTGATAAAAAGGGGAAAAGAAAATGTGTGCACCATTTCAGAATTGAATTCTTGTGACCTTAACACTAATTGGAAAAGTGACAGAGGGCAATTTTTAAAAGCCTGCAGCTGTACAAGTACATATACCTTCAGAAAAATGGAAACTGTACAAGGTCATTCCCTTTTTTTATTATTATTATTTCAAAATAGCCAACAACTGCTGGAACAAAGGTTCTTCTACAATATTTTTAACCTTATAAAAGCCCCCAATTAAAATATGGATTGGCAAAGACTCGAGAGAAAGATTAGTTTCCACACACTCTTCAAAAATACTATTCTAAATTGTACAAACATACGCACCATGGGCCAGGGACCCACCACAAATTCTCAGAAAGTACAAAACAGAAACTGTGAGACAGAAAAACAAGGACGGGACTCTCTCCCTTCAGCTGAAAGGTCAGAGGATAATCATAGCCCTAACTCCCATGTACTGGGGGATCTACAAGCCGCCAGGCACAGGCTCCATCAGGTACATTACGTGTCAACAATTCGCCAATCTTCCAACAAATGTAGGCGCCTCCCCTTATACAGGTGAGGACACTAACTATAAGAGGCCACCCTATCAGCTCAGTGGAGAAGATTCCAGATGCAAGCCCATGTCTGAGTTCAAAGCCCATGATCTACTCAGCAATACTACCTCCTGACCACTCTGTGCTATCATTTCCTATGCGACTCCACCACCCCACTAAGGGTGGACACTATAAAGAAAGTATGCCTCATACAAACTGAGGCTCCAGTAACCCGGATACAGGCAGTGGCTTAACAAAGACAATGACCTTTCAGTGCAACATGCTACTCCTTCCCCAAAACGGTGCTCGCCCTTGACACCAAGTACACACATCCAAGTCAGGTGACCCCAGCATGAAAGATGGGTCAGTTCAATGGAAGAGTAAGAAGCTGGTGCCTAGAGTGGGATCAGGAGGACCTGGACCCTAGCAGTGACAGCGGCGGAGAGTGACCTCAGACATGTCAGAGCACCACTGTGAGGCTCTGTCCTTATCTACAGACAAACTTAAGGGTCGGCCTTCTCGCTGTGATTTTGAGGCTTAAAGAAGAAGCAGGCCTCGCTGGTGGGGAGAGGGGGGTCATACACACCAGACTTTCCTTACACACATACTTCATTCAGTTTCACTGTTTAGTAGGTCTTGCTCTGGCTCCTGACAATTCAGAATGATGTGTTTGTCTCGAGTTGGGGACAAATGAAGGTCAAGTTTACAAATGATCCCATTTTTGCCATAGTTCATGGCACAAAACTGTATGTATCTATGCCCATAAAGCATCTCTTCAGGACCTAAGAATTCTCCTTTCAACGCAGGCGTGTTTCTTGAAGATGACCTTACAGGGTAAAGATATGGGAAATATTTATATTCCTGCCCACTCTACCAGGGAAGCAGCTCTTTTCAGTTACACAGCCTAGCAGAAACCAATGATGGTGCCTAGAAGCCAACACAGCAGTGCAGCCGCCAAGAACACTGTCTCTCACCACACCAACGAACGGAGCCTGCACCCCTCCTCTGACAATGTCAAAGGACACCGTTCTCTGGGGCTTCACATTTTGCCTCTCGGCAGTGCCTTAGCCCTAACATCCACCCTTCCCCTGTACAAGACCGCCCACCCCTGCTGTACCACATTCACTGCCAGCTCAGGGACTCCTAGCTTGTGACAGCCGAGAGGAACTGCAGGCCGTCACAGTGGGAGAAAGCAAAGGTGGAATGTACCTGGAGGGTGAGAGATCTCTGAACTTATTCTGCAGGTTGTGGATATCACTGAATAGCTCCAAGTTCAAGTTCTGCCCTTTCTGCAGCTCGTACTCCTGCTCCACCAGCTGCTGTCTGAGGTTCTCCAGCATCCTGCCATCCACCATGTCCGGGGCCACTGGATGGAGGATTTTCATGTGTTTCACATAACGCACTTGGTGCAAACTTGAGAAGGTCATTTCTTCATCGTCAGTGTTGCCCTTAGACTTGTTCATGCTTTCCTGGGCCCCTTCGGTCCCGCACAACACGGTGATGACGGCCTCACTGCACTGGGAGTGCTTCCCTGACTGAAGCCGAAACAAGAAATTCTGGTAGCCCCTGAGCTCAGTTTCTAAGTCCCGAATTTTCTGTTTTAAGTATTCTGTATCGTTTTCGGCATCGTTGCTCTCAGACGGATCAGTCTCAATCACGCTGACTTTAACGGAAAGCTGGCTCTTAGAACTTATGCCAGTAGCTACTGAAGTTGTGCCCAGAAAATCTTCAGATGGATTCTCTTTGCATGTTGGCAAGAAGGCAAGGTCATCAGGCTGGTATATTTCAGAATCTAAAAATCAAGTAGATGAATGTCAGCATCTCCCACTCTCCTCCCTCCCAGCCAAGGGGGCCCCTGCAACAGCCTTCTAACCACTCTCCCTGCCTCGAGGCTTCTCCTCAGACCCCTCAACGTATCCTTGTCCTCAGAGTAACTGTCTTAAAAGGAGAATTTCACCAGGATATGCTCCCATCTGAAACTTGTCAATCACTCCCTAGCTTAAGCATCACCTCCAAACTTCCTAGCTCAGCACCTGAAAGCACCCATGGTCTACTTCCATGCAGCCTTTCCAGGAACACCTGGCACCCCCGTGGAGAATCTCTACTCCACCACAATCCCCTGCACTACCAGACTGTCTCAGGGCTCCATGCTTTCGCATGTGGGGTTCTCTCTAAAATACATTCAGTCACCCTTGCTACTTGGTAAACTCCTATTCATCCTGCAACACCCAGAACCAATTTCCCTTCCTCTTCCAGGTCATTTCCAAACTATGTCAAACAACCACTCCTCTCTGTGCTTCTGAAGTACCTTACACATATCACCCAAAGACAAATATACTCGGCCTTAAGTGCTAATGCCCCAACTGCAAATGGCTTATGTATTTATCTGCATGACAGTTTCTCTGAAAGCCTCTCTCTCTCTCACTGGACTGCAAGCTCCTTCACAGCAGGGACTTGCCCTTTCACACACCCCCCATTCTCTGTACTATGGCAGTGCCTCTTTCCAATCAGCAGTCAGGGAAGGTCTGAGACAATCCTGAGGGGCTGAGTGAAGGCATCTTAGAGAACAGAAATTCTAAACACTCATGGTAGGTGAGAGTATCCTCCTGATTTTTGTGTCGAATGGTTCCCTCAAGAGGCCACAATGTCTTGTTTAGCAAGAGGTTTCACCGAGGAATTACTTCCGTAGAGCTAGCTTCAATCTGCAGAGATGTACCTACTCTTGTTTGAGAGTCAAAGGAGATACAGCTGAAATACATACACGTATATATACATGTGTGTACATATACATACAAACAAATACACAAACACATACATAAGCTTCGAGGGTAAAGAGCAAGGAAATGACAGCCAGCTTTACCAGTTAGGCCAGTAACTTACTCTCTCTGAACCTCCGTTTCCCCTGTATGCAAAATGAGGAGAGCAAAGACTTAAGACAGGTGCGGTAATGCATGCAGTGCAGGCCTGACTGCAGAGCGACCATAACCACACCAGGCCACATGCTGCCCAGGGAAAAAGCATAGCCCACTGGAGCCCAAACAATACTGGAGCCCAACGGACAGTGACCCTACAGGACAGAGCAGAATTGCTCCATAGGATTCCTGAGGCCATATGTCTTTACAGGAGCAGTCAGTCTTATCTTTCTCCCAGGGAGCAACTGGGGGGAGTCAGAACTGCTAGCTTTGCCTTTAACGACCCAACACATAAGCCACGAGGGCACCGGGGCTTCTGGTTCCATGTAAAGAGTGATCAAATACCGCAGCAGCAGCAGCAGCATGCCCAAGGAAAAAATCTACCTTGAAAACACACTTTTTAAATATGGAAGGTGGACTTTAATTTCTCACGAATTATTTGCACTTTATCTTTACATTATTTTATCCTTACCACTTACACACACACGGTTTCAAACTGTGCCTCGTGGCTTACTAGCTGTAGACCTTCAGGCAGCATATAACCTCCCTGCACCTGGGGCGCTTCCTCTGTAAAATGGGGAGATTAAACAGGTTTGGTGCATAGTGTGGCAAAGAAGCCCTCAGAGAGGGCTTGTCACTGGCTGAGTGCACTGGCTGAGTGCACTGGCTGAGTGCACTCAGAGTCGGGGCAAAGGCTGCCGCAGCAAGAATGTAGGCAGAACTAGATGACCCTAGAGATCTCTCAGCAAAGAACTCAGGCAAATGCCCTGCGTCGGAAGACCCAGATTCTGGCTCGGAACTCTGCTACTCCTACCCTTGTATCTGCTCACACAGCACAAAGCATGAAATACACCAACACCAATCCCTTTCTGATACAGTTGTGGCTGGCTCTCATGGCTAGACTCATGCACGCACACACGCACACACGCACACATCAATCTCAGAATGAGTGGGAAGGCATGCACTGTCCAGAGTCCATGTAAGCATTGAACTGCTAAGTGCAAAGCCAATGGTTCAAACCCACTAGATTACCCCATGGCTATCAGCAGGAAACTATAGGAGTGGTTCTCATCCTGTGGGTCGCAACCCCTTTGGGGGTCGAATGACCCTTTCACAGGGGTCACCGGATTCATAACAGTAGCAAAATGACAGTTATGAAGTAGCAATGAAAATAATGTTATGGGGGGGGGGGGCCACCACCACATGAGGAACTGTATGAAAGGGCCTCGCCATTAGGAAGGTTGAGAACCACTGCTCTATAGGATTGCTGAGTCAGATCTGACTCAAGGCAGTGGGCAGGAGTTTGTTGAAGCCCCATCATGCACTCCAACCATCACTTTAAACTTGCTCCTTGCAAAGGAAACAAATGCAAAAGTCAGGGTTGACCCTCAGAGCTATGACTTCCCTCACAAGACCACAACGACAGCAATCTGTGACTTGGCAGAGGGGGGCTTTGATTGCTCACATCTGACAGGTCAGCATCAGCTGTCAATGTGGTGGGCTATTCAGCACCCAGGAGCCCTCAGTAAACAACTCAGCAAAAGCCCTAAGGGGCTACTTAACACTGTTCATGCAAATGCATGGAAGGTGGAAGGAGAGGTGTGTGTGCATATGCAAAGCTGGAGCTCTACGGAGGTCTCAGGCGGTTAGCTCTGTGCCGGAGCCTGGCCTAGACAAGAAGCACTGCACTTGTGTTATCCTTTAATCCTCACAGCCACCTGTGCACCGTGACAACGGGCCTCATTTCACAGGTGAGGAAATCCAGGTTTGGAGATTGGAAGAGCATGCCCAACATTGAGTGAGGTAGCAGCCAAGCCTAGGTCAAAGCCTGTCTCTAACCCTCTGGAAGCTGTCCCCTGATGTAATCTTACTACAATTGGGAGTCTCCTGTGTCAAGGGCCCAAGGGCAAGGAGGAAGACTCCTTAGGCTTCAATTTGAAGGCCAATCACGTGTGGGATCCTTTGTTCCTCACCCACCAACAGAAAAGAGGCAGCAGCAGCAGTAGGGATGTTGCAGGGCCCAGCCCTGCAGAGAGCAGTCACCTAGCAAGGCGATGGGAGATCAATCAGAGCTGGAGGGGAAGCCCAGGGCCGAATGGGAAATAACTGTGAGGAGACATGTGAGCTGAAAGCTACAGAAAGAGGCACTGGCTATGCAATGAGGGGGCAATCGCGTGAACAAAGTTCTAGGAGCACATCCAGAGAACTGCAAGAAGTGCAGTAGTGATGGAGAGGGTTAATCACTCCTTCAAGAAGCCAAAAGATGTCCCAGGACTATTTATTCAGAACAGGATTAAAAATATTGCAGTTCTGGAGCTTTCCACACTTCAGCTGAAGGCTACTTTACTACCTACTGACTCCACCAAATGCTAGCCCACCCCACAAGCACGTGGCGGTGAGCCACAGGTAAGAGGAACCACCACTCAGCAGATTCCCTGACTGGTGGGTGTGTGCCGGCCACTCGGGGTGCATTCAGGATGCCTAGAACAGTGATTTCTTACGTGTTGAAGGAGGTCCAAGTCAAAGGCACTTTCTTTTGTTAATGAAGAGGAAAAAGAGAAGAGATTGAAAGAAAACCTGCAAGCCTCTGCTCATTCTGGCTGAAAGGAACAAGCAGGTTTGTTCCAGTAGCCTTTTTGTTTATTTGCATGGATACACTGCCTCCTGGTTACAAAAAGAAAGGGGGCTACTTGTCTGTATCCTCCCATTCACATCTCAATGCTTTTCCACCTGGCAGCTCCTACAAACCTCCAGGCTGAGCTGCAGAACCTCCTCTGACCACTCCTCCCGGCAGACAGAGGCCCACCCCGGCACACTTCAACAGCAGCCGGCACGGGCTGCACATGGACTGGCTGTCCCCTCCACAGCGAGGACTGTGCCTTTTCAGGCGGAACCCCCAGCACCCAGCCTGGGAGAACAGTGCTGGACTAGTGGATCACCCTGCCCACTGCTATGGAGTCAATTCCATGCAGAGGGTTTCCCATGGAGATTGTAGATCTTTACGGAAGCAGGCAGCCTCATCCCTCTCCCTTGGAGCAGCTAGTGGGTTTGAACTGCCTACCTTATTTGTGGTTAGCAGCCCAATGCCTAACCCACAGCACCCTCACAAATGGATTGGTGGGTTCAAAAGACATCGCCTACTGTGCCTTAGCTCATCCACCTACTGAGCAGGTGGTGACCCTGGGTCAATTTTCGCAAAGCCCAGCTTCCTTGGTGGTAAATGGGGAAGCTGTGGAAGACGTGGGAGGGTGGCTGTGAGGGTTAGCAAGTTTCCACACAGAGTATCTGCGTGGCACCTGGCCCGCAGCATCTGCCAGGAGCCACTGGGGCTCAATGCTGACCAGTGTCGTAGCTTGTCTGCAGGTCGTTGTCCGTTTCCTTGTCCCTCCACACACCGGGAGCCGTGTGACCTTCTTCTTGCTCTCCTGAGCCGCCCTGGTAGGAGGCTCCCACAAGGGGCTGAGCTACATGCATTCGGAAAGAGAGGGAAAAATAAATAAACCTGTACACTTGAAGCTTCGCCAAGCAACCAAGAAGAACACAAAGATACAAAGGGAAAATAAAAACACTGGGGAGGCAAAATACAATTTATAAGATAAAATTAATCTATCGAGCTGCCATAACAGGGCATAAAAGGCATAAATACACTGCGAGTTGTCTGAAATGCGTTAAGTCCGGGCTCTCAAAAAACCACGAGTGAGAAAAGGAATTCTACAGACCTGTACCCACTCTTCCTAAGGAGAGAGGCCCCAGGGGCTTGTGGGCTGGACAAGTGTGGGCTGGCACCTGGGAGTCAGTCAGACCACACAAGACGCAGAGAAATGGCAAAGGGCCAGGGCCCCTGGGGCTGAGTCACCTTTGCCACAAACCCATTCCTCTCTGAAGCCCCCAGCACTGCTCTTCCAGTCATTGCTCTGGTGGCCCTCCAACACCCCCCCCACCCCGCACCTGCCCCCACCCCAGGTGCGCAAGGAGCTCCCAGAAGACAGAGCTGTGTCTGCTATTCTTTCTCTCCTCCACCCAGTGCAGGTGGCTGAGATCACAGCAGGGGCCGAGATGGAGGCGGGGTGGGGGGATGAGGGAAGGCAGGAGAGCCGTGCTGCCAAAGGCCAACTTATCGTGAACCTGAATTATGGTAAACGCAACAGCAACAGACAGCCTAGAATGGAATGGATCATCATAGAATCCACACACAAAGTATCATGGTGAGGCTTTATGAAACTGTAAGAACACAGGCTCGGAAAGCAGGCAGGCTGGGTCAATCTACCTTGGTAAAGTCACTTTATGTCAGCTATAAAATTGGCATACTTACTATATACTTGTCTCCAAGAAATGTTGAGAGGATCCGATTAAATTATGCATCTAAAATATTTGGACTAGGAGGGGACCGTCCTATTCTAAGTCTGTGGAAAATTTCCAGTACCTTTTATAATTCCAACTTCCCAAGAATGTTTTCCAAAACCAAACCCACTGCCATTGAGTGGATGCTGATTCGTAGCACCCCTACCGAGGTAGTTTATTGTGCCAACCTGGCCAATAAACACATGTGGGGTTAATTGAAGGGCGGAGGGATAAATGGCTCAGTAAGCCTCGCCTTTCTAGTTCTCAGGTCTCTTGCTTTCTGATGGTTGGACCAGGGTGCAGCTGTCTTAGCAGTTCCCTGCGTTAGCTGGCAAGGCTGACTTCCTGCCAGACATCCCAGAGGAAAAGCCGAATAGACCTATCCCAGTGCAGCCCTGGGTGATGGAGCACCCGTGTGGAGACCCCTGCCAGCGCTGAGATGCTTACACATTCACTGGCTCAGCGTTCCTCCTGCAGCCGGCATCATTGCGACTGTTTTGTGAGATGGAGGAAGACTTTGTGGATTGGTGTTGGTCACATGGGTTAATGTTGGACTCGTGGGCTTGGGCAGCACTGGGTTGGGATGTTTTCTTGATGCACACTTAACCTTTATATAAAACTTTCTCTTATACATGAGTTTCTGTGGATTTGTTTTTCTAAAGTACCCAGACTAACACACCTACCTAGGGCTTCTGAGGCTATCAATCTTTACGAGAGCAGCCAGCCTCATCTTCCTCCCAAGGAGCTGCTGGTGGGGTTGAACCTCTGACCATGCGGTTAGCAGTCCAACCCTTACCTGACAGCACCACAGGGCTCCCCCTCCCTCATATATTAGCGTTCAAGAAATAATAATAACTGCTCCTTTTATTATTATCACAGGAAGCCCAATACCCCCAAGTCATCTCCCACCCTGAACCCCTGTGGAATCCTCTAGAGAAGCGGTTCTCAACCTGTGGGTCCTAACTCCTTGGGGGGGTGTCGAATGACCCTTTCACAGGCGTCACCCAATTCATAACAGCAAAATTAGAGTTATGAAGTAGCAATAAAAATAATTTTATAGTTGGAGGGTCACCACAACACGAGGAACTGTATTAAAGGGTTGCAGCATTAGGAAGGTTGAGAACCACTGCTCTAGGGTCTGATGGAAGCAGAGGTACACAGACCCTTCACTGGCAAAATCCCAGGTAACCTCAAGCTGCTCTCGGAACACTAACTTCACCTCCTCCATTTCACCCTCGTGTTCAAAGTCAACCGACCAGCCCCTGAGGGCACTGCTTGTCCCTCTCTCACCCTCTCCAGCTCAGGCCTCGAAAGGCTGCCCACCTCACCACAGTCTCCTCATTGCCCTACGTCTTGGTAAAATCCCTCAGTTATTTTATTCTTGCTATCTCCAAATCCCCCTCCATTTGTTCTAGAACCCCATGCCCATCAACACGCTCATGCTACTGAAGCAACTACCTTCAAGGTCATGGATGAAGTCCCATTGTGAAATCCAGTGGCCACGCTTCACTCTCCTCTCCGCCTGTTAGCAATATTCTGCACAGCTTGTCCACCCTGGTCACCGTCTCACCTGCTGGAGCATCCTTCACTCTTGGATCCCCTCTGTCCTCACTGGCTGCTTCTGCCCAACCTCTACCTAGTGAGCAGCCCGAGGCTCAGTCCCTGGACCTCTTTTCTCTACCCCTGCCTACTCCCTAGGTCTCCAGGGCTCCTATCTCCAGATATCACCTCCAAACTCACTGCCATGGAGCTGGTTCTGACTCAGAGCAGCCTGTAGGGCACGGCAGAACTATCCCTGTGGGTTCCCCACACTCACTCTTTGCAGGAGTAGAAAGCCTCGGCTCTCTCCCGTGGAGCAGCCGGTGGTTTTCAACAGCTGACCTTGCAGTTAGCAGTCCAATGCATAACCACTATGCCACCAGGGCTCCTCTACATACCAACTACATATGTTTATATTTCCTCAATATTTCTCTCTAGACCAGATCTCTCTCCTCTACTCCAGACTCAATTAGCCCCAACTGCCTACCTGCTATCACTGCTGGGATGGCTAGCAGGCATCTCACATACTTCCCAAACCGGTACCTCAAGGTCGGCCCCCCAGCCTGCCTCTCCTGCAGTCTTTCCCATCTCAGTGTACCACAACTCCCCCTTCCAGCTGTTCACTCACATTAAAGGTATAGCCTTAAAGCAGTGCTCAGCATGTTTTCTTTCTTTTTCTTTTTTAAACATTTTATTAGGGGCTCATACAACTGTTATCCCAATCCATACACACATCAATTGTGTAAAGCGCATTTATACATCGTTTC